CACTTATGGTTACATGTGTATATCTTGGTAACCGCTGCACCAATTTCTTCCAAACTTGGCACAGTTGTTGGCCTTGCTACAGCATACCAAATGGCCGAAAATTTTTAAAATCGGACAATAACCACGCCTACCTCCCATATAACGGTAATTTGGAGAAATACAAATTCTTCGATAAATCAACAAATATTAAAGCTAATTTACTCAAAATTTATGCTTGCAACAATTCTTTACCAAGAAAACCGTTTGTGACAAAAGTTTGGAAAATGTGCGTAGCACCGCCCACTTATGATCACATATATGTATCTCAGTAACCGTTCTACCAATTTGTACCAAACTCGGTATGATTATTGTGCTTGCCACATAGAAGCAAAACGTTGAAAATTATTGGAATCAGATTCAAATTACGACCACTTTTCATATAACGGCCAATTTCAGAAATGCTTGAAACTTCAATATTTCGAAATTTAAGGACGCTAATTTACTGAAAACTGAACACACCGGCTTACCATGTAGCGGTACCTGCGCCGGGTATTTAATGTTCGGCTCCGCCCGAACTTAGACTTTCTTACTTGTTTCATTTTTAATATTTATGTGGCCATAAAAAATTAATTCATTGTCTATTGTGTAGTTCAGTGGAATCTTTATATATTTAATTCAATTAGTATACAAAAAAGCATTTCAGCCCTACCAGACTACTGACTTTTCCTAGTACCTTTACACAAAAGAGGATAAAATTGTGACCCGCTTCTCTTTCCTTCTTAAATGCAACTTTACAAGGCAGTCGATTGACACAAACGTCAATATTTATCCAACCTTGTATTATTGAATCATACCGGCACACTGACAACACCGGGTGTCGCAAAGAACCAGCGAAGAACACCCGAAATAGAAGTGTATCTTGTAAAATGTGCAGCAAAAGGCGAATTTATACAAGGTGGTGTTGCGAGAATTCGTCGCGGTCCTTCTGAATGTGAAAATGATGGGTTTGTTGTATTTTTGGGTTTTGAACTTGGGTATATTTAAGTTTTTTCTCAACCGATATCACCTTGTATTAATTCACTTTAGTGCAGCGTGCAGCAATAAAGGAAATGAGCTTTAGCCTGAAGAGGCGCAATTGCGCCAACACACTGTGCTGAATCCGACAGTGGCGCTGGAATTAGGGTGTCAGCGCCAAAAAACTTGCGCCGTTACCCAGGTCTAGTGTAAAAACATTGCAAATTATTGTCTATTATTATAGATACTAGTACAGATAGTTCATTGTTCATAGTTCAGTGTATAATTTGTTATATTACACCGTGCATGATAATGAATTGTTAATTGCTGAAAACGCTTGTAACTTGTAGATCACTCAAACATGGGTGTGCTTAATTGACTGTCTGGGCGGATGCGCTGGCAGGCATCGGGGTCTGTATAGCTATACAAACCTTGTTTTTTTTTTTTTTAAATAAATACTTAAATATATTCGGAAATTTAGAATTTGGCTTGATAAATTCACAAAATTTACGCTTTTCATAAAAATATAATCTTAAAAGGGAGTTTTTTTTTTAAATTTTAAACTTACATTTAAGAAACCTCCATTCAATTCTATAATTACGATTTGAGTTTTCCAGTTTATAAAACACAAGCGTTAATTATGTACTTAACTATTGATATTATTCTTCATTAAGCATGACTATCAGCATACATTAAAGATTAATATTATACTTAACCTACATTTTGTTCATAAATAACACATAATTATTTATATTTTATCCTCGAAATGAACTTTTTCTAACCATGGCGAAATTCCCCACAGTAAGTGTTGCCGTTCGCAAAAAACGAAAGCGCTGCACACAACCCAAAAGTACTCTTCGGCGACCAAATAGTGAAAAACTGCGAAAAGGTTTATT